TATTCGTTAATTAAGCAGAAACACTTCAAACATATTTCATTTATTTCGTCTGATATATGATAATCTATAATATCCCAGAAGACTTGGTAGTAGGGGTAGTCATAAAAACTGCCAAACCATAAAACCGCATCGAACTATATGGAAAAAACCGAAAAGAACTGTGTTGATCGGAAAAATCCACTTTGAGTAAAAAACCGAACCAAACTAGTTCAAACCTGTTCCTGTTTTGAAGGAACAAGAACCGATCGGAACCGAACCAAACCGTTTTACTAATAAATAAATTATATATATACACATGTCATGGTTTAATAGGTTGAAAAATTAGTTTCACCAAGTTGCAAAGCAGTGAATCCATCCCAATTAGGGCTCACCCATCCTAAAATGTTTTTGCTTGCTACTGTTGCTACTGCTGCCAATATCAGGGAACCACTATCAGGGTGCCACTACCAAAGACATTTGCATTAAAAAGGATTTGTGTTGTATGCAACTTTATATAATCGTTTTAGAAGACGTATTTGAATGCATAACTCTATATCAGTATATTTCTTTGGCGTGATCTACTACATAAGTAGCTTCATAGCAGATTTGGTGTTTAAATAATTTAGTATTCGGAACCGTAAACCGGCAAGAACTCGAATCGGAACCGGTATAGACTAAAATGTACAGTTCTAGTAATAAATTTAAGCGAAACCGCACTAAATCGAACAGTTGATATTTTCCGGTTCCGGTTCCAATTTAGGTGGAACTGCACAGTGCCCATCCCTTGTGCACAACCAGAACTAGTCTTGCGGAAATTTTAGGGTACTAGAAGAAGAAAAAACATTGATGAAGACCAACCACCGAGTAGCCGTTGTCTTGCCTGCAAATGCAGGCTGGATGTCAGTGGAAAAATAATAGTCCATCCCGGCCGTATAGCTTTTATTGTCATCAAGTGGAGTAGTTGTAGATAGAGATGCTGCCACGACCACTCGATTACCAAAAGGGAAATTACCAGGAAAAGACGCTAATATAAGTGGCGCGCGGGGTCTTAGGATTGCGCAAGGATCACGCGTGGAAAGTTTCATTCGATAACTCATATGAGAGACTTGCCGGAGCCGGCCGGTAATCGAAAGCTAGAACATTGTAATACTGCTATGTAGATTATAGGGATGAATGACCATTTTTTCTACCAGATGTCGTCAATCTAGAGTACTATGGTAAATAACTTCAGTTAGATTTTGTTGATTGGTGCTCCGTACGTGTCAATGCATCCAACATTTGCAAAGGAAACCTGCATATATACTTAAGCTTATCTACTCTGTCCCTGATTTGTAATGCAACCTCAATCAAATGAAGCTTGTAGGGCAAGAAAATTACGTGTTATGCTCTGTCCTTATCCCCCCGAACTTAAAGTTTGTTCTCTTTGTCCGTTGAGCTGAAGACTACTGTATACGTACATATTTATCCATATCCATTATCTAGCATGTATCTGTATTTAGATATGTTGCCCCCAAAAAAAAAAAAATATTATTTGGGTATGCTAATCTCAAGAGATTGGTGGAGTAAAAATCGAGTAAAGGTTTAGAAACCTCAATCCCAGTTCGAATTCCAATGAATGCTTTCTTTGGGCCAACCTGCATCAATTAGTGTGTAATATTTCTTTATTAAAAAAAATTATTTGGATTATGATTAGGGGAAGTTCATAACCTTATTACCGAGCAATTTCAGTCACATGGATTTCTTTTTTTTTTCAACCTGCTTAGAATAAAGAGAGATATTAAGTATATTTAGTGACTTCGATCGAATTCATTTATTTTTGAATCTGTCATATTGATGACTTAATGGTCAGCCTCGCTTGGAAAAACTAAAAGAAATCGAAAGAGCTTCAATATATCGATCCCTTTGATCTTCACAAAATTGCTTTAAACGCATGCTTTGGGCCAGATGGCAGCAAAAGAAATTATGGAGTTGTTGGTTTAATTTGGTTACCTGTTAATTAGTTGTTGATCTATCATTAGCCAGGTAGGAATTGAAAACATATCTACCTGCTGGGTCCTGAATTATGTTGGAGTGTAATGGCAAGTCGGGTCCTGAATTATGTTGGAGTGTAAGGCAAGTCTTTAATTCTATTGTCTTGTAAGGGTTTTTCTTTCACTCATTTTTTCTTGGAAAGTTCCCTACGATTCCGAATGATGTATATATCTTTTAATAAACACATCCTGTTATAGAATTAATCTCTTTGGACAAATTTCTGACGTCTTGGATTTATATATATGTGTAGTACAGAGATCATGTGGTAGTACAAAAATGTAACAACAACAAAGCTTTATCTCACTAAGTGAGGTCTGATATATGAATCCTAGAACGTCATTGCGCTTGGTTTTGTGTCATGTCTTCCGTTAGATTCAAGTTGTCCAAGTCTTTTCTTAGAACCTTTGTTCAAGTCTTCCTAGGTCTTTCTATACCTCTTTAGCCTTGAGACTCTATCTCGTAACGGCATCTTCTAACTGGAGCGTTTGTAAGTCTTCATTTCACATGTCCAAACAAACAAAAATATATAGATTTGTGGTGACGAGTGGTGACTGAGTTAGACTTTTGTTGGGCAACTTCCGGGAAAGTCAGTAATATATGGAGTCCAAATCATATTACGACAAGGCCCATCTTAAGGTCCACACATGTCATCCTTATAAGTTGCACTACGTTTGATGCCTATCGAATCGGATTACACAAAGCAGAAAGAAAAATATTATTCTCAGATCGAGCGAAACGCGTTTTGCCGTATATTTGAATCATTGCAAGTCCGTCAGTATATGTGCAAATAAGATATTCACTCGTTTATGGAAGATGCATGTCTTGAAATTGTTGGGAGGAATATATATTGCTGCAAAAGCCCTCTTTTTACACGTATGTATGTGCTTTGATGCTATCTTTGTTTGTCAATAAAGTTATGTTCTTTTACTCTATCTTCTTGAAGTTGCTCTTCTTCTTTTTCGACATATGGAAAAGAATATCAAACATAAGAATATCTGATCATCTGATCTTTCTGCATTTTCCCCGGAGGCCAGCTGATTCGATCTTTTAAGTTCAATTTCCTTCTGGAGCAATATATACACGAAGTTTCTTGGAAATTTCCTTCTATTGGTTTCTCGCTAAGGTAGGTATATATATCTTTTCCAATATATATTTTTTGCAGTATATTATACATGTTTTTCCGTTTGCATTAATGCAAATTTGCAATCACTTTGGATGGGAAACGAATAAAAAGAAATCAAATCCTCGCCGCAACTTCATATTTGATTCTTAGCAAATAGTTAGATGTCTAACGGGCGGAATGCAAAATGCAAAAATTTCAAGGAACAAATTTTAAGTGGATGTAAACCATCATTTTGGCTAAGAATGTATATAAAAATATAATTAAACATACATCTTTAAAAGATGGGCTTGTTAATTATAGAGAGAAAAGTAAAACAAAGGCATAAGGTTAATGCTTGCATTCCTCCCTTATAGAGATGAGTTCGTTCCTTCACTTACGTATGACGTATTTTTACTGTTTCATGATTGGAATAGTTCTATCTCTTAATCTTCACTTGAAGACCGTTCCTACAAAAAATCATTCGAATCAGATATTGTTTAGTATGTATGAAATCAATAAACAGTTCATCATGAACATGTAATTTGGTAATGACATTTTGATTTATTTGATACATTGGATGATTAAACGATATCCAATTTAAATGATTTTTAGTACGAATGATCTTCAAATGAAAAATAAGAGATTAAACGGTTCCGATTATAAAATTTCTACAATGAAGATACGTTATTTGTAAGTGGTAGAATTTGCTCATCTCCTAAGAGGAGAATGCTTTGCTTGTATTGTCCAAGATAATAATGCCAAACATTGCTTGATCCTTATTAAAATTGGCTGTTGGTTAGAGGCTTAGAGCAACTCAGAAACTAATTGAGACGATGTTGTTTAGAGCTACTCAATTAAAGTTCACAGTTTGCTCAACACATGGATTTTGGGATGTTGATCCCATGGAGCTTAGTGGTTTTTTGCTTTAGGCTCAGTGAACATATATATAGTTAGTTTTATTTTATCCAATATTTATGTGGTTTCAAATTAAATTAAATTTTTGCATTCATTTTTCATTTGTGTGACTATTTTGCCCATAATAATAAACATGAACTTAAATTGAAAATTCCTAATTATATGTTTTTTTAATTTAAAATTTGAATAATATGATTTGCACTTGAAAAACATTCAAACAGATCAATTAGCGAGTGTGATAACTACACAACTATTTACCCTTGATAATTATGTCTATAACACTGCAAAAAAAACCTCGCCAGACAAGTAAAAGATGTTTTCATCGCCATAAACTTTTAATTGACACAAGTTTATCGAGAAAGATTAGTCGGATAAAACCTGTCACTCGAAGTCTTACTCAACAAAATATCTATTTCGTCGGCCACAACAAAGTTAGACCGACAAATGTATTTGTCGGGCAAACATGTGTTGACCATATTGACTTGACGAAATCATCTTGCTAGCCTAGGATATTTCGTTGCCTAGAATCAAATAAAATAATGTTATAAATTTGACCCGACGAAAAAGTTGTTGGGCTAATATTTTTTAAAATTTTTAGAAAACGTTAAAAAAATATTTGTAATAAATAATTTTTAATTCTAATTATATTAATTTAAAAAGCTATAATTAATGACAACTTTAAAATTGTTATTTAATTACATTCAAAATAAAATTGTCCATACAATTATGTTAAAAAAACTAAACATATAAATGTAAACTACTCCGGTGGGTGCTGAGGTGGCTGGGGGAATGGCTTCTGAAGGTTGCTCAGGGGGTCGGGAATGCTTATACCAGAAGCTGATAAGGATTGGCTTACTCTAGCAAAGTACATGCACATTAATTTGTGCACAACAACTTCTCTCTGTGCCACTTCTTCTTTTTGGTGCTCAGTTTCTTTTATTTGGTGCACTAACTCCATCTCTACATGCTGAAGTCTGGAATCAGTCTCAGTCGAAGGATATAACTTACTGAAGAAGACGACCTCTGAAGTCTTAAACCCGACCTGCTCATAGGCCACGAAGTTCTTTGCCTTTCCATCGCCTAACCTCATCCATCAATAATTGTAGATACACCTTTGGATTACATATCAGCTTCTCCATAGGCACGTCTGGTTGCTGCTAGGAGAGTAGGCGAGGTACTCGTCTTTCTTTAGTGTCATAAAAGCCTACAAAAAAACAAAGGGGAAATCAATTAAGATTTTCGATCATAATTTAAACCTTATTTGTTGTAATGAAATTTACAATTAAATCATAGAAAAGAATACTTACAAAAATGCCGTTCGCAATTTAGATGTCATAATTGGCATGTGTTTCCCCCCAAACATCCACCTTCAGGAAATGTGAACCAGTAGCTCACCATTCCTCAACCCCTTATTTTTCTGTAAAGTAAAACATACAATTAAACATTACTAAAGAAACATAAAAATTGAACTAGAATTAAAATGGATTTGGATCCCATTTGGATCCAAATTGTGGGGATCCTAGGGTTCCTCACATCCTAACTGTTTATCATACATCGTGCGGTAGCCAGAAATTATTTTGAATTTTTAATTTAAAGTTAAACATAAGTAGTACCTAACGAAAACTGACCGCACAATGTATGATGAATTACTAGGATGTGAGGATCCCTAGGATCCCCACAAAGAGGATCCGAAGAGAACCCTCATTCAATTAAAATATATATAAAGCTTACCTGAAATTTTTCACTCTGAAAATGAGTGCACATCCAATGTCACTCACCCATCCCCTCCACAAACTCCTCATTCCTCAAGTGGATCTCTATGAGCTGTCTTAGGCGACACACAAGTCTGGTAGTAGATGTGTAGCTCGTACTTCCACTCTTTATACCACTCCTTCCACATTGGTCAATTTACTCGACACAGGCCTTGTTCATCATATCCACTCGAAGTTGGCCTGAAATTCCAAAAATAAAAAATAAAAATAAAAAAAATAAAAAACAAAATTTTTAGTTAAACCACATTAAATAAGTAAAGGAAAAAATAATAATAAATTAAGAAAGTTGCACACTTGTCGAGCAGTCTATCCATCTCGACACAGACCTCAGGGTTGTGCGTCTTCCAGGAATCAATGACCATGGGGCATTTGGTGTGGATGATGGCACCCAGTCGTGAGTCAACAAATTGTTGGCTTTGTCACTCACTCATCGGTGACTCGAGAGGTATCCAACCCAGATCCGCTTTTACGTGACCCGAGTAATCTAGTTGCTCACCAACACCCTACAAATCACCCATCCCCCATTCATTGCACAGTCGTCGAATCAGCCTTTACGCTAGGGTTGCCTTAAGCAGGTGTGGTAAGGATGGGGTTAGGTTGCTAGAAGCTCATGGCGTCTGCGACTTTAGGGGTGCCTAGCAGATCGGACCACCTGCCCTAATGGCGCCGGCAAACGACTTAGCAGGGCCATTAGGTCTCGCTGGCACCCTAGGTGGCGTTAGGGGTTAACCTCTCACTCTGAGCAAATGTGAAAGCAGAATGGCGACCACTAGTGATCAGGCGCGAAGACATATGTGAAAAAAAAATTTATTACTTTCCTACAATTTCACAAAATTTTCATATTTTCCTACAAATTTCACAAATATCATTCCTACAATTTCACATATTTCCAAAATTTTACCAATTTAAACATTTTCTTACAAATTTCACAAATTTTCATACCTTTATACTAATATTTCACATATTTCTACAATTTCACAAAAATTTCATATTTTCCTACAAATTTTGATAAATCTCATAAAATTTCACATATTTCTAAAATTTTATCAAATTTAAACAGTTTCCTACAAATTTTCAAAAATTTCCTACAATTTCACAAAAATTTCTCACACCCCACCACCACCTTCCCCACCTTTCCCACTACCCACAACCACCACCACCACTATCCGTGAACCACCAACCTCACTACTCGTGAACCGCCACCACCGTACCCACCCTCCCACACCTTATGCCACCACCGTAGCCATCCTCCCCACACCACAACCACCACCGTACCCACAAATCACATCCTACCAATCATAACAAATCCTAGAATAGTTTCGAAATAAAAATTAAAATAGAGAGAGATAGAAATCACCGACAATGAGGTCAAAGAGAGAGCATAGAGTGATGATGGTGTAGCTCGCGGGTGTTGGAGGAGAGAGCACATGGAGCAAAGATAGGTTAGATGGAGAGACTGAGTTGCAGAAAGAGAGATTCCTAAGAGATTTGCTGAGGTTAGAGAGAGTTGTGTCTCATGAGTTGCAAAAAAAGATATAGAGACTGAGTGGCATGAGGAGGAAGACAGAAGAAGATTCTGGGGTTACAACATATTGGACCTTTGCCCGACGGAAGGTTCATTGGGCGAAGGTTTTTAAAATTCTGACACGTGTTAAAATCCCTAATTTTTATCAGGCAAACCCTATTGGTTTGGTGGGCAGCGGTTGCTTGAAGTATTTAATTTCGGTAAAATAATTAGTGGAACATAAAGTTTGCTCGACGAAATTTTAGAATATCTCGTCTGGTTACCTATATTTTGGGGCAAGTTTGAATTTTTGGGAAAATTTTGAGGGCAATTTTTTTTATTTTTCCGTAAAAATTGTGCTGTGACTCGACCAAACTTTGTAAGTTAACCCGACATATAAACAGATTTCGTAGGCCAAATTTAAAAAAAAAAAAAAAACAATATTTCTCAAATTTGAACATTAAATTCAAATGATTCAAAAAGTCATCGAATTTGACGATCATGTTATTTTAGTGTGTGATTTTACTCTCAATTTTTGGTCTTGTCAAAAGTGGAGTTAAAATGACCATTAAATCGTGATTTTTTTCTTCTCATTGTCGAATGATTTCGTTCTGTTACCTTATCTCCGAACGTTTTTTTTTTTTTTTTTTTTTTTTTTTAATTTTGTGATTTTTGGCGTACAAGATCTTGAAGTATATGCAAACATGTTTAATGGTTGGATCATGGAAACTAGTTTAATTTTGTATAATGCGTGTCTCATCAAAAGAACAGATTCTCAAACACTTAGAGTTTATTCTATACTTTCATTAAGTAGTATGTAAGCTTTTGTTGTATTCACTAGTGTACATATTTTAAATTCATGATTGGGTTCATTCATCGTATTCTTCTAGGGTTGGGGATTGTATTTGTAAAAAAAATCATCAAAATCGAAGTTAAAACGATTGTTAAATCATGATTTTTCGTTTCTAACCGTCAAACAATTTCGTCCCATTACCTAATCTCCGGAGATTTATTTTTGGTGATTTTTGGCCTCTTAGATCTTGGAGAATAGACAAACAAGTTTGATAGTTGGATTGTTAAATTAATTTTGCAGCCATATGGTTTAAAGCTTTGGGGAATTAGATTTTACCAGAACAATGGGTTTGAGTGAGTTGTAAAAATGGAGGAAGAAGAGGTGTTTATAAAATAGATGTGGAGATGAATCCAACAGTAGGGATTGAAGGTGGTATTTGTTGGGGATATGTCTAATCATGATGGTGGTATCCTCTCCGTTTTCTTCAACACGCAAGTCATCTGAGTAAACTTTCGTCATCACCTTCTTTGCCATAGAATAATCACTCAAGTATTTCACACGGCGATCCTTATATTCCTTCCAACTACTAGTTTTAATATTACCATATAAATCTTATAGCTGCTATGAACCCCCACAATTGGCTTTAACTTCTTCTTGCACTTAACTCCTTTGATTTTTACCACCAATGCTACTCTCTAGACCTCCATGATTGAAACAAATAATAGTGGCAGTTTGATGGAAATAACTCGGGAAAGGTTGGTCATCCTAAACCTTAAAACCTAATTAAGCCTTTACGCAATGGAGTTTTTCAAAGTTCATCTGGCAAGATTTGACTGGCTTCGTGCCATTTTTTTCCCTTGACACCAAATGTTTGCCTGACGAACAACGACCTGCCCTACCAAATTACTCCATCGTGTAAAGCCTCTGAAAAACCAAAGCGTTGCCCAACCAAGAGTTAATTTTTGTCGGGCGAAGAGAATTTACCTGACAAAAAGCCGGACTAATCTTAGTAGGGCAAATGGTATTTTTGGCACTGCAACAATTTTTATTTTCTAAAATAATATAATGTCCATATATGAAAATAAAAACTTAACATCTTCATTTACTTATAAAAGAGATATGAAACAATTATACATGTGCTATCATTATCTACCTATTGTAAAGATACATAAACAAATATGTACGTAGGGTAAAGATATATAACTAAACACTATGGGTTATCATCATGACAAATTTCAAGACATGTAGGAGCAGAAAAAGAAATATATTGCATGTAGTGCAGGTTATCAGCTTATGGGGCAGATTGGGAATGAAATTAATGTTTCTATGCATCTTTAAACTTAGGGGCAGATTAGGAATGAAAAATAAAAGTATTTATTTCTGCAAAAATGAAAGTAATAATAGGTCATGTAGTTGTCAAGGGGTTTAAAAAAATGATTTTTTTTTCGGGGTTTCCCTAAAGTACGCTTGGAAATTGGGCTCAAATCAACTTTTCTAAGGGGTGATTTAGTATAAAATCAATAAAAAGTTACAATGTTAACAATATATCAATAATATTTATATTAATTAAAAATAGGTTAATCGTATATTAGGATACTTAAATGCATTTAAAATAAACAAAAATTACAAAATCTGTCACTACAGCTGACATCTACTTCAACTAACACCTCCTTTCTCATAGTTTTTATATTTTGGAATAAATCGATACGGATTCAGACACTGTAACACAATGTCTATTTCCTTATTCTATTTTTTTACATTTGGATTTAGACACTATAACACAATGTCTATTTTTTTGTATCATTTTTTCCATCACTCAAACGCCTCCTACATGTTCTTTTTTACATTTGGATATAGACACTGCAATGTAATGTTCATTTCCTAATTATGTTTTTTACTTTTGGATTCAGACGTTGCGTTGCAGTGTCCATCTCCTTGTTTTGTTTTTTATCATCACTCCCACGCCTCTTACATGTTCTTTTTGTTATTTATTTTTTATTTTTACATTTGGATTCAAATACTGCAACACAATGTTCATTTCATGATTTTGTTTTTTATTTTTGGATTCAGACGTTGTGTTGCAATGTCCGTTTTCTGGTTCAGTTTTTTCCATCACTCACATGTCTCATATCCTCACACGACTTCTCATTGTTACATTTGAATTAAGACATTGTAATGTAGTGTCTGTCTCCTGGCTCTATTTTTTAGATTTGGATTCAGTCACTGCAATGCAGTGTCCATTTTCCTGGTTCCGTTTCCTTGAGTTGAGCAGACTCCTCCATGTAAACGAAGGGGGGGGGGAGGGAGTGATAGAATATTCTTGTTCTAACTATTTATAATATCTTAAAGGCCATATGACATTCATAGAGAGAAGAATAAAACAGTCAAGTTCTAACTATTTATAATGAAAGAATAGAAGAGTCAAGTTTTAACTATTTATAATGACTTAAAGCTCATGTGACATTTATTACTGACAAATGCCTAGTTAATAAAAATATATCCTTGATTAAGTCCAAAACAAAAAAATATCATTAATATATGGCTAAATAGTAAAGTTTTATTGATTTTTGGCTAACCTTTGCATAAAATCCTTGGCACAATATTATTTAGATAAAATGCGACATTTATCCAGTGATTGATTTAAGTGTCAAAAGTTTTAGACATTTTAGCGGTCCAGGAGTGATACTGTCATCAATTTAATAGATAATAGATTTTGTTTAGAAAGTTTAGATTTAATTAGTAATGAAACCATTCAATATATAGGAAATTTAACTTTCATAGTGTTACCGATATGATTAATGATGACATCCGCCCCATCTAAATTTAGCATCCTGTCAACGCAAGTCATGATGATCATATATATATTAGAGTACACTCTTTAAAAGCTTTAGTTTTTAAGGCTATTGGTTATCTAGCATCATGATATTTGGATATGCTTTGCAAGAAGGTAGGACATGTGGGTTTTGATTTATGATGCCACTTCTTTGTTGGTTTGCATGGTAACGTGATGAGAGACTCCACCTATAAGTTTCTCTTTCTCTCTCTCTCTCTCTCTCTCTCTCTGTCTCAGTCTGCTTCTCCAAGTGTAAGACGAATTTGCACGCAAGAAAGAGTATTTAAGCTTGATATTCATCGGCGGCCGTTCTCACAGCTTAAGCTTTTGAGACCATTTTCGCTTGTCTATCAATTTAAGTCTTAATAACTTTAGTTTTACCAAGTAAGACTAAACTTAAATATAAGCTCAACTTACCTGGAGATGGTGAAGTACATTCATCGACAAAGAATCAAGACCGTCTTCTACGTACTCTCAACAAACTAGAATGTCTTAAAACCTAAACCTTAACTAATGAGAAATCTTTCAGAATAAAGAGTAACCTAAAAGATTAACATCAGAACAGATTACTTGGACGTGAAATCATGCACCCTAAGCAATGCCAAAACCAATTGACAAGCAAAGGTCACCCCACCTACAGCACACAGATCGATGGACCAAATACGAACAATTAGAAATTATTAAAACAACCAAGAAAAATGTGGGTGAAAGAAACTGCTAGAACTCCCTTTCCACTTATAGTATATATGCATATCTATCAAAAATAAAATAAAATATACTATATATGCATATATGACATAGTTGTTAATTATAAGGAGGTGAAAATCAAAGCCAGCAGACACTACCAATTGATATAGCTGATTTAAGTACTGTCTGCATGAAAGGTTTCAGACCGATTCATGTACATTTTTGGTTTCGAATACTGCAAAGTTATTCTTTATTGATTTAATATTACTTTCTCTAAATTAGGACGCGTTTTTATTAAAATAAGCAGATTATTGCATCATTTTTATACCTTTCCACCTAGCTATATATATATACAGCTAGAACTTTTTTGGGGTTAGGTTCCACCCTAGATATTTTAGCTTATATATATAATTGCTGCATCCAGTTTACATTAGTCCGTTTTGATTGCAGTTTTACACATAAATACTTAATTACTGGA